CCACGTACATGTATTTTAGACGCACACCTATGTCACGTGGTTCAACAGACGAGTGAGTAGTTTTGGAGACACACGTGTTGACATCTAGACAGTCGTGAGAGAAAATCTACAAGCTTACATTGACATGTGTGTGTGGGTGGGGGGTTGGGGGGAGGGGCAGGGTGGTGTCGCTGTCTCAAACTGAGCGATTTGTGTGCTAGATTTGGTTGCTAGATTTGGTTGCTAGAAATGTTTATTGCCGTGATGTTTTGTATTTGTATGCACTCAAAGGGCAGTGCCTCCAGTGCGGTCAAAAATTCGTGGCGCAACTTATTCTTAAATATCTCCTCAACTATAGAACATTACACTCTCCAGCTTTTGTACAGCGGCTTGTATCAATTTGTCTTAACAGATCAATATCTTTGTAAACACCTGTTAGCTCTATTCTAGAACATTCTTTAATAAATAATAATTTTAAAAATCCCAGTGTTTGGTTTCCACTAGATCTAATTCTAAAAGGTTTACAGCTGGGATGATATCGCTTTTAAAAGCAAGCACGTCTTTTTTTTCTAAACGCGAGATAATCTTTATTGAACGCATTTTTGGAGAACTTTTAGTGCAAAAAAGTGTTCACTTTTAAATTAATTTCTTGTAACTGGTTTTGCAACTATAAAGTGCTATTGGTGAGCTGTGACGTAAGCCATATGCGTACGCAAAATGTGTGTGAGAAGTGGGAAGTGCTGTGAACAATTCCATTTTCTGCGAGAAGGAGTTTTGTAGTATTTTATATAAATTATTGAAGAAAAGTTGTTATATCTAGTCTCAACTGTTGTGGAAAAATGTGATTACGTTAAGACAAATTGATACAAGCTGCTATGCAAAGTATGGGTGACATCGATTCACCCGTTAAAAAGATATTTGAGGATAAGTTGCCCCACGAATTTTTGACTGCTCTACAACACAGGGCCCAAATAAAGAAAGGTTTTTAGTGCCAGGTCAAGGTCTTCTGGAAAACTAGTTTTGTTTCTTCGCTGGCTCACAGGAGCGCCATGAAACGTTCCGTGCGCGCATTGCCGCACTAATGAACGAGCGAGATTTGTCTTCTTTTTTTAAA